GGCTGGAATTCAACCAGTATCCTTTTGCTTCCTAAACAAATGTCTATACCGCATTACATAAGTTTCAAAATAGTTTAAATTTTTTCCCCCTGTTTTCATTACGGTAAGTATTTCACTTACTTAGGTCTTCCGTATTATTCAAAGCAATACTTAAGCTTAAGAAAAAGATAACGAACACAGGAAGACACAACAATCACTTGTAAACACAACAAAGTCTCTCAGATCTGACCCAGTGTCAAACATGCTTATGTCCCTACTGCACACACACACGTGCACGCTTTCCAGATATACTGATGTTAAGGGGGGGAAACAACCAACTCTTTCTGGCAGACTAAACAGAGCTGGCCAGCCTGGCAGCATTGCACTCCCATTGGCTCATTGCACATTCCTTACCCAATTAGAATTCCACTCATACCTGTGGAGGCGGGGCACAGTCAGGGGCAATAACCTCTGGTTGCATACAAGTTTACACACACATACCTTCTCTGCTTGCTTTCATTTTAACTCACCTGATGAAACACTTTACGATAACATACTTCTTGTAGAGCTTATTTTACCAGAGTCGCTTACAGTAAACTTTATCATAAGAGGACACGATCTATTATAATCCCGGATGACTGCAGTGTTTTAACTGATTCTGATTAAAATGATTTGTTATCAGTTAATCTACCAATCTTAGTAGTATATAAAATACCCGCTTACAGTTGATACAATGACATAATCTATTTTGATCACTGATGTCACTCTTGACTTTCAAGAGTGACATCAGTCCTTTGTTATTATTTCAAACAAAAGGAGCGATGAACTGTTCTTTTGCAGATCTACGTGGCTAAGTGAGACTCAGTGATAACGTCAAGCGCAGATAACCTCAAACTGAAATGTATAAACAGTGGGATAAGTGACGAAGTGTGCTAGATCCGTTGGTCTGATTCCCGTCCTTCCTTCTTGAAATCCACTCTGAGAGGAAGAGTCAGTAAGTAAACAGCATGTGGGGCGCATTTTCAGACAGCACTTCACCACATCAGTGCTGACAGGCATTTGCTTTAAAAGACATCCATCACAATCATACCTTTGCAGTACACTGCTGCAATGTTCCATGAAAACCACACAAAGAAATATTTAGTCTGACGGAAAGCAAATTTTAGTGTGTGTCATTGCTCAGTTTTGACTCAGGGGGACAAGGCGTCTGCTCAGCGGCTCAGATGGGTCATTTCCATTTGAATAGAGGCCCTTGGATGCCCAGTGGGGTTACATTATCAACAGTAGGAACCTTTGTTCCAGCTGTGACTGTATGTGGAGCGGAGGAGGAAACTTCTATATGACCTACAGGGCAGACTCCGACCCACAAACTGAAAAATAAAAAAAATTATCTCAATTCGGTTGAATAAATGACCCCTGAAGAACAAACATGCTGCACTTCCTTCAGTGGGGACAAGTTCAACGAGTCCGACATTTGTGCAGCTACAGCTGACACAGCAGCGAAATGCCAATCGATACTCATTGGTAATCCGGACTAGGATGTCAAATCTAGCGGGAGATCAATTTTCATACAGGCTGCCGCTCGACATTTGCTCTCTCCCCAGCGTTACAGAGCTCGCCGCATTCGGCTGAAGCGGAGGTTTCGGCTGGTGGTCAGCACCCCCCAAAAAGGGTGTAGCTAGCAAGCGCTAGCGGTCAACATTAACCACAATGTTACTATTAGCTAGCAGGCTAAGAAGCCACTGTTAGTGGTTGATAAAGTTTCTGAGCGTGGCTTTCAAGCGTCGGCATTCACCACGACTAGCGGACTAGTCGCCTGTCTCAGCTGCAAAACGCACAGGACAGTGAACAGCTCCTCGGCTGTCCTCTCGGTAATTTACTTAGCATCTAAGCTAACAAGCTAGCACTCGGCTGGTGTTTGCCACACAAAAACCGGATGTTTGGGCGAACAGCAGACTCGAGAGGCTCAAAGACACTTCGCGTTGTCTCGTTGGGTTTGCTAAAATCAACACGTTACCGAGCAAACACTGAGTTCCGGTTTAAACGTGCACCGTAAGCTCTTTCTTTCGCTCTCGCTTTTACCTGTCAGTCGGATTTTGATGCTGGACCCGTTCCTCCGACTCCCAGGATTCGACATCACTCCGGGAAAAACGATCACACAAACTTCCCTGTCGAGCCAGCCAAAATCACAGTTTCACCAAGTAATGGAACTGCGAATAACTTCAGTTTCCACACATGCGGTTTGCTTTTGGTTTCCTCACGGATAAAAATGTATTATTTCACCGCAAAGTCTTGCGCTCCTTCGAAATCCGACAACACGGGAGAACATTTTCGGGCAGGCTCAAGCACGTACTGACGTATTGTTCTCAGTGTCTGTACAGTACGTGCTCGCTCCGGGAAGCGTGGGCGTGCCCGTGGTGATCAGATTCTTTCAAGTCTTTAGACATTCTGTTTTGGTTTTTATTTCAGTAATTAGGGCCCGGGCACTAAAAGTACGAAGACCCTACTGGAATTGCTACGTTTATTATTATTCAGACAAAACAAGTGGCTTTTTGAGGGCTTTAACATACTTAAAAACAGAGAAAAAATAAAGAAATGTTGCACACGTGTCAGGTCTGGTAAAAAGAAATTGGTATTTTAATAGTTTCGCATATGCGTGGTGCAAAATGGCTCTAGATCGCCACCTATGCGTTGTTAAATAAAGTCCTATGACCACATAGTTTGAGCTACATGAATGAAATTTGGCACAGACGTGTAACATACCAAGACGAACAAAAAAGTAATTGGGCCCATCAACGCAAACCCAACAGGAAGTCCACCATTTTGAATTGAATGTGAGATTTTGGCACCGATTTTGCCATTTCCAGGCGTTGTACTTTTGCGAACTCCTAGGAATTTGATCAGATCAGCTTCATATTTGGTCTGTGTCAACTACACACCTGGGCCATTTAATTTACAACAGCATTCATTTTGTTAAAAAAATACAAAAATAGAACAACACACAGAACGGGCCAACATTTAACTAAAAATTGTTCAACTCAACAAAACTCAATCATTTTGCTGAAATGATACTGCTAGGTGTTTTGTTAGCTAGGCTATCTCACCTTGTTCAGGGATATTAGCTTCAAGGGGCGGTGTAAAAAGCATTTTTTTGCATTTTTAAAATTGACAGTTATGGATTGAATTTGATTGCTAAACATAATTTTCACATAGTTTTCTTTTTCGTGTTCAACACTTCAAGCAAGCTAACATCAAGTGTGTGACAAACTCATAGTCGATTGATGTGGTCTGTGTGTGCCAGGTCAGCAGTCAAATCAGTTAAGATATGAAGATGCCTCTGTTTAGAAATATATGACCAAAAGAGGGTATCTTAAGGTGTGAGATGCCCCCTGCTACAGGGGAACATCACTTACATTGTTGTTAAAAAAGCATTTGCTCCCTTCCAGATTTTATGGACTCCAGTGAACCACAGTGAGATCCATTAACCACAATTGGAAAAGAACTTGTAACAGTCGTGAACCTTACCAGGAGTGGCTGGCCTACCAACATTCAGTGCATCGATGACTCATCCAGGAGGTCACAAAGAACCCAGAACAACATTAACGAACTGCAGTCCTCACTCGCATCAGTCAGAGTTCATGATTAAACAATAAGAAAGAGACTGGACATAAATGGCATCCATGGAAGTGTTCCAATGAGAAAACCACTGGTGACTGCAAAGAACAAAACGCCTCGTCTCACATCCACCACAGCTCATCTTGATGATCCCCAAAACTTTGGGAAAACATTCAAAGGTTTCAGAAGGGTTACACGGTCCAAAATGTCTCCACAGAAATGTGCCACCACTGTAAAATGTACAATATGGACGATAAATATAGCCACTATTTACAGTTTTCACACAAACATTTTCGCACCAGTGTACCGCAGTGAAGTGTTGCATTATTTGCAGGTGTACACCATAAATCTAGAGAGTCGTTATCTGATGGTTCAAGGGGTCCCAGAAATTGGGGTTATAACTTGATTCAGCTGTTTGCCCTCTATGGAGCTGTAGAGGAGTATAGGCCCCTGGATGAGTATCCTGCTGAGGAGTTCACAGAGGTCTACTTTGTAAAGTTCCAGAAACTGTTCGTTATGCATAACTGGCAAAGTCTGAAGAACCTTCGGAATAATTTGGTTTCAGTTTAGCAAAGCGACACATGGATGAGAAAAGTTTCTATGGTGGTGTGCTGCACATGTGCTAAGTCCGTATAATTTTATATCTATAGGTTAGATTTTGCTTCACAAAATCCACCACTCCAATAAACAACAACTTAGTTCCACCTTAGTCTGAGCAAACCTAAGCTAAGATAATCACACACACACACAACTAGTCACTTTACATCTTTTCATTGTTTCTTTGTACATTTCCACAATTTCCCTTTGGCACTTTTCTTTTAATTTGACTGGGATCTTTTTAAATGATGTTGATTTTTACACAGAAAGAGGACACGCAAGAGGAGCCTTCTTCATCAGAAAAAACTACCACGTCAGACGACAACAACCTCACATGCAAACAAACCTCTGGAAATGACAATACAAGGGAGACTTCAAACATCAGCTGCTATTTAGACTTTACTCTTCTGCTATTACCTCCCCAAGAACATCATTACTATGGACCTAAAAGTCAACATAGGGTTTTACTGACAGAGGATAAAATAGGGACTTTACACAATACCTGTGCTGACACAGCGAGAAGGTGGTTCAAGGTGCAAATAGACCTTCTCAAATAGAGACAAGCAGCACATCAGACCACTGCAGTCAGATTTCTCCTTTGGACCACACACTTGGGAGAACCCTAAAGGCAAAATGGAAGAGGCTGAGGAGCCCTCCATTACTGTTTCTGGTCATAGAGAGCCTTTCATTGGGCCAAAACTACCAGAACTATCCTTTTTTTTTATTTAACAAATTTTACATCAGAGCACTGCCACCATTGAGATTAATATTAAAGATGTTTAGGCTGATTATGCAGGTATGCGATTTCTTTATTCTTCCATTTGTTCCTGAAATACACTTCCTTCAAACACCTCGACTCTCTGAAAAAATAAGTAAAGCAAACTGTCAGATTGAGAATTTCTGAATTTCTGAAATTTAAAGAGCTTCTCATTACAGATTACCCTGAAATCAGGAAGGCAGTGTCCAAACAATTCCAGGAATAGGTTCTCATCTTTCACAACCTTTTCAAAATATTTAAAAGACACATTGGCATCAAGATCATAGTCCTGTGGGAGGAAGCACCATTGGCAGAGCTGGTAAATTATTTACAGACCTGAGAATTTTTTTAATAGTTTTATTTTTTGGAAAACCACGTGAAAACAGTTTTATCTGTGCAGCAAACAGCTCACCATCTTTTTCAGTATGATCTCCACCAGGTCTTTGATTCCTTCGTCAGGGTCCTCATTGGGCCGTCTGATGAGCCTCTCCTTCAGAAAATCGAGCATCTCCTCTCTAGAGATGGCATTGTCACCATTCAAGTCGTACATGCTGAAGCAATCTGAGCCATGCCAAACATAGGAATTTGTTTTAGGCAGATAAGCTACATGTGTTAAGGTGTGAGAGTGAGCCTAAGCAAAAAAAGTAAGATTGAGGAATTACATTTAATTTTTTCACCCAAGGTGCACCGAAGAAAAACAGGCAGTCCCCTCAATCCACTCTTCCATGCCGACAACGCCGTCTTTGTCTTTGTCAAATGTAGTGAAGACTGAATGACAGACAGTTACACTCACAACATGTCTTGGATTTAATTATAGATTTTAATTGTTTGTATTGAAGATATTGTTCATTCCCAACTCTGTACTCCTGGACAAATGTACTGAAGGATATGATTTAATCATTTTGAAAGAGCTGGTGGAGGTGAGTGATTCCTTTGTGCTCCCATACTGGAAAGTGGACAGGGCTATTGTATAATAAGAATTCCGGGTTGTGCCAAATTGGAGAGTATTTACAGGGTGATAGTGATGATTTGGAGATTTAGTTTACTTGCCACCATTTTATCGACATTTTACTATAAATAAATATAAATAACTGTAAACTGAATACCTCTACCTGTGATCCTGTCATCAATCAGCCCAAAGATGCTGTGCAGTATACTTAGGAACCTCCCACTGTCCAGACTGTGCACTGCTCTTCGAGAGTTGTCAGACTCCATCATAAGCAGGTTAAAGTTAACATTTAAAATTGTGTTTTAAACATAAAAAGCTACAAATATTTTAGTGAATGTTGTAAAAAAATGACTCGAAAAAACATGTTTTTGTAAGGTTTTGAGCTAAAAGTGGAAAAATGTTGCTGTTAATTCCAGCATGTTTCAGTTTACAAACGGCCCCCATAATGAAGAGCACTAAACTACCGCTATAACAAAGTTAGCAGAGTTTAGCCCGGGGATTTTCCGATTCAGATCGATTTTAGCTTGAATAAAGTGATATCGAATCATTAATCCTCAATTGATTTTTTATAGGTGTAAACCTCCAATGTGAGGAAGGCTTTCTTGTTATATGGTCGTTTTCATGGAATATTGCAAAATAGCTCCACAGCACCCCATACAAAATTTCAAAAGACCACCCCCTACTCTATGTTTCATCTATGTGTCTGAAATTTGGCAGGCTTATGTAAAATACCAAGATGTTTTCAGGCCTCGTACTTTAACGAACTCCTCCTAGGGATTTAATCACATTCATGTGATCTTCAACGGGTGAAATCTAAAGACCTTGATGATGCTAAATTGCAAAGCTTTTCACGTTTTGTGAGACCATGTGGTCATGGTGACACGTCGACCTTCAATCACAAGATCAGAAGAAGCATTTAACTGTTGTAACTAAAAGATACACTTGTCTTTCCCAAACTTAACAGGCAGTATGAGAGTCCAGCCCCCGAACCGATTCATGTGCCATTTGTCAGTAATGGTTAGAGCAGTGCCTAGTGGGAAGAGGAAATGCAAAGTGGGTTATAATCATCATTGAACGAGATAAAATTTTAACTGGTGGTTCTACTCATGATATGCATCAGTGGGACATCAGATTGGATGGTAATCTCCATCGCTGCCTGCTGGGCGTAGGTGTTGGGCTTAGCTTGATGCGCTGGGGTGCGAGGGCCCTCTTGTCACTGCTTGCAGCTTTAATTCTACTTATTTATTTTTTTACATTTACTTCATGAAAAAATAATCAAATATAATAATACATAGATAGACATACATTAAAATCTATTTATAGAAGGTCATAGCAGTTACTTTTTAATATAGCGCTCTTTTACCTAATTTCTACTTTAACAATATCCCTACATAGAATCACTGCCAATAAAAAAATGGTACGGTCTCACTTTTTATGGCTAACCTCATCAACCCAAACTTAGTTGTTTAGGTTTTTGTCAATAATTGCTTACTTTAAAAATAACTTTTAAAACTTAGTACCTAAATTAACCCTTCAACAACTCTGCTTTACGTTTCTTATTCAAAAATCAATGAATATCACTAATATAAAAAAAGCAAACAACAAACTTTTGTAACAGCTTTGCAGATGTTTGGCAGAGCTTCCATTTTAATTAAAACTCAGACAAATGCTGCGGAAAAATGGGTAATATATGATAATATACGCTGATAGGAATGGATGACGGTCTTCCTCTAAAGTTAGGCCTTGAATGCTGTTCACCCCAGCAATATTTAAATTGCATTATAATCCTTAGTTACTATGATATTTCACTCAGACCCACAAATGTTAATTTATGGTGTCAAAAGGAAAAGTTGGGGTTTCAACTGAGTCATGGGATTCATCTGCACAGGTAGCAAAAATATAAAATACCTGAACTGTGAGAGACTTACACTTGTGCAGAATTATAACTTTGATGGGAATATGACTGAGACGATAAAGTCATGGCAGATGTGACATAAAATTAAGTTCAATTGGATGCACCATTTGCATCATAGTAGCATAACAGGCTTTAGGAAATGTTTAGCAGGAACATGAAGCGTGCAGGCAGCTAAAACACAAAAAGACTGAAGGAAAGCCGGGTGACCTGAGATTATAGCTGCTTGGATTTGGCTCTTTAGCGGCGGCACAGTTAGCTACAGTATTAGCAGTGGGAACAATGGTACCTCTCACCGGCCTGTTTACACACCACAGTAAATCCATATGAGCAGACAAATGTCTTGCACACGTCCCAGGGGCCAGACACAAACACACATGTTGCAGTTTCAACTCTTTCATATTCGGCCCATTGGCCACAAACCCTTAAAACAGAGAGAGATACAGGTGGAAGCAATAATTCATACACCTTTCCACCTTCCTCTTCATATGAGCACTTCCCTTTATGTCTTTAATATCTTTCCCCATTTTGTCCTCCACTTTTAAACTACATCTGTCTAATTCCCAGATGATGTTTGTATTTGTCTGTTTAACTATGTCAACACTCCACAGGTGGCTGTAGTCACGCTGGGGACACACACACACAAATCGGTCTATCCTTCTAGCCATCGTGTACAGCTGTTAGTGTGATTATGTGATTATGTGGGTGTATCTTTTATTCAGCTGGTCTCAGGGGCTGTGGAGCCCCTGAGACCAGCTGAGTGTGCTCACAACAAAATCATTCCTATCATGGAGACAGACTAAAACCGCAGGGACAAGCAGACACATAGTTAACAAAGATGAAGTCATTCTGTTTAACTGAGCAGTTGGGGAATAATACTGGGTGGCCAAAACATGAAATAAAAATCAGAGGCTGAGACATGAGATGACGAGGAGGAAGATGAAATTACACCAAGAGAAGAAGGGGATGGTAAAAGAGAGGCTCCACAGAATCTGTTAAATCATTTTAAAAAATAACAAAAGCACAATTTAGAAAGCTGGAAAAAAATAATATGATTGAAATGCTGTGAAATGAATGATGAAGCATATGGAACCAAGTCAAACCATCATCCCCCTGAGGCTCATTCTCTGTGCCGCTGAGTCAGTACGAATGTGAGTGCCCCCTTTGGGAAACTGGAGCAACAGCTACTTCAGCTCAGAGGAAGTTGGGAGTGAGTCTAAAGGCTGAGAACAAAGCAGTGATGTCAGAAAATTTCAGCTTCTGGGAAAGCAGCAACTTTTGGCATTCCCTGGAATTTTTCTTCACATCCTGGAATTTACACATCCTGGGAAAAAAAATCAGCTCTTTTATATTTGACCCAGAGCTGTTCCTAGCTGAATAAAATCCAAATGTAATTACTTACACACCAAAATACACTGAGGGAATCATTGTTTTAATATAAAGGATTTAATCTGGCTGTAGGTATTTCAAAATAATCAAGATGGACAAAGATCTAATTGAATTTGATGGACAAAAATAACCCAATGGCACATCAGTGGTTTCAGTTTAGGGTGCCATACTAATCCTAATGTACACACACAGATAAAGTAATAACTGCTTAACAGCAGAGACATGGTGGAATGAAACTGGAGGGGTGGAAATCAAGAGGGATCGGGGAAGATAACTAAAATAATGGGCTGAGAAAAGGAGACGGTTTTGATGGCTTTGCAGGGAAACCCAAAATGGACCAAGGCAGACTAAAGAATTCCCAAATCCACATTCCCAGGGCCAAAAGGCACACACCTATAGTGCTCCTGAGCTTATCTGTACATCCTGCACTGGTGAGTACCTGAGTCAAACACTAGCTCTTGTTGGATCAACATCTACTATCCTTTCTCTCACTCCAATTAACAACTCTGCTTTCTTTAAACTGCCAGTCTGTCTCTGATGAAGTCAGTGGGTGAGCAGGCTAATCGGTCACTAGGTTGCGTATGTTAGCGGCAGCAAGCAAGCCTGGTGTCTATAAAGGCGATTGCAGGGATGATGTGGACCCCCTGGAGGGCTAGATGTCATGAATAAACCACATGAAATCAAACGCCCCTGCTGGGTCAAAGATGACGGACGACATTCTTATTGTTATCGTCTTCTCTAACCAGACGGTGAAAGTGAGGCAGGATGATGTCCAGCAGATGAAACGGCCTAAGTTCTACCAAGCCAGTGACATCGCTGATCACATGTTCCTCAACGAAGCCGCGTCTCGGAAAACCTTCACCGCCACTATGTCAGCGCAAGGATCTACATAAGCAAGCTTCACAGCACTGAGTAATCCACAGCACCATTAAAAAGCAGTCAAACCATAGAAAAAAAGCAGTATAGGAACAGAAAAGCCTTTTGTAACTTAGAGAATTTTATTACGTTTGGTTTTCAATGTGTTATTCAATATGTTTCCCATCAATCATAATCAATCATAAAGATTATTCACTGCGCAGAGAATTAATCACGCCATGTGGTTGATGCATACCCCCCCCCCCCCCCCCCCCCCTCTTTTCTGTTCTTTTGCCATAATGGTTATGCAAGCTTAAAATGATTTAAGATTATTCATACAACTGATGATTTATTTGATGACAAACTATAATTTATCACATTTAACATTAAATCTACATGTGTAGCTTTGTACTACTTCTTCAGTTAGTAAAAGTCTGAAACCTTCCAGAATGCCTAGAAGGGGTAACACCATGTAATCCTCAAGTTAATAAATTGTAACCTTGTAATTAATCAAACTTCATTAACAAACAGTGAAATTGTATCTTATAATCTTTGTTTATCTTTAGTAAAAATGACAGCTTGTGATGACAATGCAAAACAATTTTTACATTATGTGTTAGTTATTATTGGTTATAATTCCGATCAGTCGTTAGCCCGTCCTGTTTATTTGTGGTGCAGTGCTCCATAAATCTGTGTGGATTTGAGGATAAGGGCCAAAAGGCATATTTATGCTTTACAAAGTCCGTAATAAGCTCAACTTCAGATGTAACTTCATTAAAAAAAGATTCAAACAATATTCATGTATGCTTTACAAATAATTTATTATTCATTTGACATTTGTTATAATAGTTTTTTCATGTTTACAACCAAATAATAACCAATTAGTAAACACGATTGTTTGTGATGTATTATTTGTGAACTATAAAATCCTCCTACTATTAATAAGAATAATAAGGATTTAATTTAAGAATTGTAAGACGTGACAACTTCTTTTCCCCCATAAACTAGCCGATGCCCATCTGCATCTGCCTCGCAAGTTTCAGTATACATTATTTTCATTTTTATTCAATTCAATTTTATTTATACAGCGCCAACTCAGAACAACAGTTG